TGTTTTTTGTAAAATATTAGTAATTGGTAATAACTTTTCCATGACTGACAAAAACAAGTACAAAAGTCTCATTACACTTATTTTGCCTTTTTCAAATATTTTTGCGGATTATTTAGAAAAGTTATTACATTTTTTCTTTTTGTACATATATGTTAAACAAAACTTTGACAAATTATTGCTAGAGTTGTGCTCCCCAGGAAATACACATGATTTGTAAAATATATTAGTCCTTAAACTACTTTTCACACCTCCCATAATTACTTCTTAACATATAGCTCTAACACATCATCCAAATGAATAATTTTTCTGTTTGTAAGGAAAATGATGTCATCAGTTCCTACAACAAATACATTGTATAAAATTTATACTATTTACAATTGCAATTAAAAAAAAAAAGAAATAACATTAACTTGGAGACGTGTATTTCCTGGGCTGTATCCTAAAACCTGTCCTTGCTACTAATCATATCTTGATCATTTAAATAACGCAAGTCTTGTAGTTCTTGGAATTTCTCATGATCTCTAATGTGTGCATAGTTGGCAGACAAACACATTAGGTAATGAACCTTAAATAGCATTTAAATTTAAATAAATATGCAATCACTTCACATTTAAAAATATTAACCTACCAAACTTAATATTACCAGTACAGTGGCAACACTTGCCAAAATGAACATTATTTCTGCTTTTTCCACATAATCTTTACAAAACAGCTTTACATTTTGAGAATCACAAACTTTCATATGCTCCTGTTTTGTTCCTGAAGGAAACAGAAAGTCTGAAATAAAAATAAAATTATTGGAAGAGTTCTCAGTTATAGATTATATATACATACAAAATTGAGTCAAATCAATACAGTCCCTTAATGTTTCAACATTAGGATTGGCACACATATTCCAAAAAACAGTGAAAATGAAAGTAACAATAATTAGAAAGCAGAACATTAATAGCCATGCTATTTTTAGTATATATGTTATAATCATAAACTAAAATATAAAAACCAATTAACACTTATCAAATAAAACAGAATAAGTAATTTACCACTGCACAGCTTATGCGTCCTCCTACCCTTGATCTCCAAGCACGATACACTTTATGTCTTGTAGCTCCAGTTGCTAAACAACCAACAGTTAAAATCATTAAACCTAAAGCACCCATACAAGCTCCAGTGATTACAAAGGTCATTTGTACTGCATCAATCCTAAAATATTTTACTAATGTGGTATATGTGTATACTTAT